CCCAAGGCCCCCGAGACCCCGTCCAATCACACCAACCAGTTCCAAAACATAATTCGGACCTGCTCGAGGCCTCAAATCACATCAAACAACGCTAAAACCATGAATCACACTCCAATTCAAGCTTTATGAACTTCAGAACTTCAAACTTCCTCATTCGATGCCGAATCCTATCGAATCACGCCCGGTTGACGTCATCTTGCACACAAGTCACATTTGACATTAAGGACCTACTCCAACTTTCGGAATCAGATTCCGACCTCGATATCAAAAAGTCCACTTCCGGTCAAACTTCTCAAAAACCTTCAAATTTCTAATTTTCACCAAATGACTCCAAAATGACCTACGGGCCTTCAAATCTACTTCCGGACGCGCTCCCAATAACGAAATCACCATACGGAGCTATTCTCAGACTCGGAATTCCTAACGGACATCGATAACATTGAAATGCATTTCAACCCAAATTTATAAAATTCTTCCAAAATGCTAACTTCCACGATAGGCGCTGAAACGCTCCCTGGTCATCCAAAATCCGATCCGAACATACGCCCAAGTCCGAAATCATTATACGAACCTGGTGGAACCTTCAAATCTCGATTCCGATGCCGTTTACTCTAAAATTCAATCTTAGTCAATCTTTCCAACATAAAGCTTTCGAAATGAGAATTTTCTTTTCAATTCAATTCTGAACTTCCCGAAATTCAATCTCGACCACGCGTACAAGTCATAATACTTGAACTGAAGCTACTCATGGCCTCAAACCGCCGAACGACGTGCTAGAACTCAAAACGACCGGTCGGGTCGTTACATGTTTAATATATAGTTTATAAACTCAAACGCAATGTGTTTTTTAAAATTTTATTCAATGCATTTGTTGCATGGATTCATCTAACAGCCAGACAAATTCACGCCATTCCTTCTCGAGATCCTCAAAAAATTAAAAAGAGTGAACCTCTTATGTTCTTCCCCTTTAGTCTGCAAAATTAAAGAAAATATGCATTAACATGAAATCTTAAGGAATTAGGCTATTTGACAAAGTATAACTCCATTCTCATTTAATCAGTTAATAGTTCACATTTCAATGCATAATAATTTACAATGTTGGGCTCCCACAGTAAAACACAAATCTAACTCTGAAGTTAATATAATACAGAAACCCATATCCTTTCTTTACAAATGACAAACATCAGAAATGATCCAAATGTTCACCAAACTTTCTTAGGGCCCATAAGCCCAAGAACTTCTTCCCAAAGCCCAACACTTGCAACATTAGACAGCCCAATTACACTTGGACTGCAAGCTGCTACTGTCCAATAACCAGCTTTAATCTCATCCCTCAATTGATCTCTCTCCCATGCACAATACCCATCAAAAAACCTAAAGTTTTCAAGCCCAACTACATCCCTTTTTACCATTTCAGCTGCACAGCCCACACTCTCTTTTGTACCATAATACACACTCTTCATTACTTCATCAAATACTCCACTTTTTCCAAGCCCATCTTCTCCTCCTTCATTTGGGCTTACCAAAAAAAGCCCTTCTTCTAAAGGCCCACCAAAGAACAACGGCCTATTCGCAAACGTCTCGGACATATCCAATACAGACGATCTCATTTCTTTGATTGACATAAGTGATGGCCTGTTGAGAATTAAGCCCGTTGGGCCTGTCGGGCCCATTGACAACAAGAGAATTACGGTCCGCTCAAAGATGTGGACGCCGTCGAGCTTTTCAGTGGCGATGAGCAAGCAGCCTTTCTCTGGTTCGTGAATGGTGTGAGCCCATTTTTTACCAATTGTGACGGCCGGAGACGGCGGAAGATCGTCAACGGTGTCCGGATTGACGACGGATGACGGCTCTTCTGACCGGAAAGTTTTTTCTCCGGCCACCAATCGTGCACGAAATGATCGCCAATCAGAATCAGCAAAAGATCTTTCTTCGTCTTGAGGTGAGGGTGATGGCAATGATGAACTTGCCTGACAACCTACAAGTACAAAGTTTGCTCAGCTTTCCCAAAAATACCATCTTTTTTGTAGTTTACATGAACCAAAAACAGACGGCAGTTATCACAGGTAGCCTACGCACAATTTTTCATCAGAATATCTAAAAAATTGAACTAATGAAAAATTCCTTTTCCAAATGATTGAAATTACCCCGAGTTCCCTGAGTTATTGTTCTCGAATCACAATTTAAAATTAGTAACTCAATGAGTGTAATCTTCGTGGGCGTTTGGACATAAGAAATGTAAAATTACCAAAAAAAAGTGAAAGAAAATTTCTAAGTAAAAATAATATTTGAAAATTAGAGTTGTGTTTGGACATGAATATAATTTTGATTTTTTTTTTTAGGTTTTGTGAGTCATATAAGTGGAAATTTTGAATACAGCTTTTGAAGTTTTTCAAATTTTCTAAAAATTCCAAAATTATCTTGAAGTGAAAATTGAAAATGTTATAGCTAAACACTAATTTGGAAAAAAAGTTAAATTTTTTCAGAAAAAGCGATTTTTTTTTTATGTCCAAACGGGCTCGGGCTCTAAGACCCATTTGGACATACTAATTTTCTCCTTTTTTTTCAAAAACAATGTTTGGTTATCCCATTTTTACCAATTTTTCCTTTTTTCAATTGAAAATGAGAATTTGCTAGTTTTAATTTTATAAATTTACTCTATATTTTTAAAATTTATAAAATGACCCTATCACTTTCAGATATATCTTTGGCAACTGATGGTGGAACATCAGTCCTAGTTGATACTTGAACTACGCCCATTGGAAGTTTGATTATATGATTATGACTTATGAGAAATATGGCTATGCCTGCTTTTGCACCTTTTCTGTGTGTTAGTAGAATTAAAAAAATGTGATATTGATTTTGCATCTATAGTATATTGCAGTAAAGCAGAATATGATAACAGCTAAACAATAGCATTTCGATAGTTTATTTCAAGTAGGATAATCAAATTGGGGTGGTTTTGATATTTTTTACAAGTTGTGGGATATGAATCATATTTCATGGTTTTGAAAAAAAAGACATCCAAATATATTGCAAAAATTATAACCAAATATAACTTCATCTTCAATTCAAATTTGAAAAAAAAACTGAAAATCATGTCCAAACGCCTGCTTAGTATACTTTAAATTTGTTTTTTTGGCCTCATGGTATTGGAGTTAAGAATAATGATTTTAATAGAACCCGCAGACTCCGGCCTAGATCTAGCTCCGTTGATGGTGAGGTAATTTGAGCATCACAATTTGAAATGTGGTGTCTCCATCACGGGACTGTTTCATCAGAATCCACAGAGCATCACAATTTGAAATGCAAAACGGAGAAAACAAGAAAGAGGAGACTTACAAGTCAGTGACAAAGGAGTGCCAACTTTTTTGAGCTGATGAAACTGACTAGTAACAAATAACCTTCTTCTTGTAGAATAACATATTCTTGATCCTAACAAAGGGAAGAGTTTCTCTGACAAGGGCTTTGAAGTCACAAAGCAAGCTTCCATATTGGTTTCAGAATTTAGCTGCAGATTCAAAAGGATTCTGCTATAAAGACTGAAACAGTGTTATAGCAAAAAAGGGTTCAAGTATAAAGAGAGAATTCATTGTGTTTTATATGGAGAATGTGGTTAAATGTAGACCACACCGAGTTTTCGAGCCAATCCAGTACAAGTAGGATGCTTTTTCACTGTTGGCAGAGTGCTTTCCCGAAAGTATGGGCTGATGGATATGGCTTTACACGTAAGAAGACAGGACAGCACTTATAGGATTACACGTATACTTATGCAGGATATTGTGGTTGGTATGAGTTACAAGTGGCTAAGGTTTAATCTGCTGAAATCTAGTGCACTTTTATAAATGATGTGTTCTGGTTCTAACCACAGAGGTCAGTATGACTTCCTGTTTCTTTAACCCTTTTTTTTTTTTGTCACTTTCTTTCCTTCTTCTTTCCCGGGTTGAGTCATAGCTAGCAATTTTTTTTTTTTTTAAGTTATGTTGAAAAATGGAGTCAATTATTCAAATGGTCACTCAACTATCCGAAATTATCTCCTAAAGTCACTTTTCTTTCGTTTGTAACAACAAAGTCACTGAACTATGCCTATTGCACTCAGAAGGTCACTCAACTAGATTTTTCAAAATTTTGGATTGCGAAATACCTATTTTATTTTTTTTAAACTTTTTAGTATTAACAACAGAAATTCAAAATTTTATTTACACAATTCAGAATGAAAGAAAATAAAGGTTGTAAAATATATATTCCCATGCACGTAATATAAAATAATTATTTAAATAAAGTTATTTTTATAATATACATTATATATTCTTGAAAATTATGCTCAATTATATTATTATGCTTCTACCAACATTCTGACGACACAAAGTTATGTCACCAGAAAGCAGGGGGCTATAACTATGCTATGTTAAATCGTGCATGGATTATATATATA